ATTGCTCAAAGCGCATCTTCAGATATGGCATAAAGTATTCCTATTGGTTGACCTACTTATCATGCTTATATAAAATAGATTTTGATTGGTAGGGTCCATAAAAATGGGCGTGTCATCAATGGTTAAAGATAAGATAGAGGCGGTCCTTCAAGAGATAACACAGGGATAAAACAATGTTCAGAATACCAACTTACAACAATATTAGTGCTGTGTTATCTCTGGAAGATACAACAAAAGATAACACAAAACTTACAACAGTGTTCAGAATACCGCCCCTGGTCTTTATCTTTAAGACAACAAACTGTAAATGTTGAACATTGTTTCTTAGTAATAATATATTACTTACTAGTCATGCTAGTACTACTAGTAGGCTCTAGAACTTAAAAGTAGCACTAAATATTTATATGTTTGCCTATCGGCTTAACTTTAGAATACCCCATCAAAAGACAATAGGGTTAATGTACATAAACAGAGGAAGACCTAGGGTTAGAGTTAGGTTTAGGTTTAGTGTAAAGCTAGTCAAGTCTTGAGATTTAGCCCCATTGGTGAAGAATTTGGTACTAGGGTGTCTGATCGCGCACCCGATGTTGTGTGCTAAAATCTTTCCCATAGAGATTGCACGCATTCCTATGTGGTCTACGTGCATTGCGCGACCAAGCAAAATTGGTCAATGATTTTATGAAAAATTTGAAATTCAAACCTTTATAACAAATGATCCTGAAGGTGAAACTTAATAATTGTGGTGTCATATGAAAGAGCAGGTTTTTCTCCATATTTTCCATAGGGGGCCACCCCCGGAATTCTCAAAAAAATCTTGCTCAAAACAGCGATTTAAACATCGTTTCCATGGTAACTCTGAGATTTACCAATTTCACGAACTGCTCCCCCGAGGGATAAGTTGGGCAAGCTGTAAAGAATATATCCATGCACTTATTTTTTCTCTAGTCCCAAGGGATCATTTGGCACAACAGTTTGAAAATACCCTTGCTCCACGCTTTGCATATCGTGCTGTGCATTAGCTGTGCAGCTTTTGAGCAGAAATTAATCACTTTTCTGTCCATTCTGACCAAAATGCTATGAATATTGCACAGTTTTTGAGGGGCTGTATCTTTTGATAGAAACATTGGTGAGTCTTGAATTTGAAAGGTAGGGGTCTATTATTCTGATTACATTTTTTATTCCAATATCCAACAAAAATGGTGAAAAATGATCCCAAATTGAAAATTGAAAAATTGTTCAGACACCCTATTGGTACCCTGCAAGCATTCGGTCAATTTTTGTGGTGGGGTATTCTAAAGTTGCTCCTGCCTATCTTTTCTTTCCCTCACACCTAACCAAGTACCAACACACATCCCCACTTGATTGGGTACAGATTTCACATTTTTCAGCCAAGTTATATTCATACACATAAGAACAAGCAGATGGGACTACAAGCGACTACTCGACGACAAAATGTCTCGACGATTAGAATATACCCTAATAAACCAGTCTTTAAAAGCTAATTTTCGTGATATTTAAATGAAAATGGTAATCACTTACTTGTGAAATGTGCTCACGGAGCCTTTCACAACTCGATTTCTGCAATTGATGGCCGCACAAGATCAAGAAGGGCATTTTGTTGACATTTGAACTATGATTTAGAAAGTCGCCATGTCATTCGCATAGTGCTAGTGACTGACGCCAATCATCCAATTCAATGTAATATTAATCGGATCGGAAGCAGGAAGTGTTATGCGCTAGCTAGCTGTGCAAGACTGCCCGCGGCGGGTATGGCAGGCCCTTTGTGTAAAAACTAGATACATTCTGTTTATCTCAGATAAACTCAGTTTATCAGAAAAACTGAGTATATCTGAGACAAACAGATTTTTTTCAGATAAAGGTACGTCATTAGAATAGTAGTTCAAATGCGGGTGTTTGGAAAACGAAGACCGGGGACCATGTGCGCGCACGTACACGTGTCAAGGAGATGATCCCCGGTCTTCGATCTTCGTTTTCCAAAATAACCCAGTTTTGGGGGGAAAACGAAGACCAAAGACCGGGGACCCATGTATTATGTGTGTTCGGCGTTGATAATAATTACAATAGTACTGAAACACTGTCAGAATGATTAAAAACGATGATGATAATAATAATAGTATAATAATAATGATATTTTTTGTAAAGCGCTTAGAGACATTTGTATTAAGTGCTATATAAAAATTAAATATTATTATCATTATTATGATATTAATATAATAATAATAGTAATGATAATACATAATAATAATGATAAAAGATGATGATAATAAAGCATAACAACTTATGCAAAAGCAAACCAACAAAATAAATAACCTATGGCAGGTGGCTGCTACAGACAGGTTCTTAACACCTAATCTATATCCATGTGAACCAATTTTTAGTGGCCACTGATAGGAATATGTCTACTAAAGAGAGATGGCCGCTAATTAAGAGAGAGGTGACTGTATTTTCATCATTTATAATCGCACATGTGCGCCCGTCCAAATCGAGGAGAGAGAGGAAGAGACGATCCCCGATCTTTGATCTTCGTTTTCCAAAATACCCCGGGGTGTTTCGGAAAACAAAGACTGAAGACCGGGGACCCATGTATTATGTGTGTTCGGCATTGATAATAATTACAATACCACTGAAATACTGTTAGAATGATGAAAACGATGACAAAAACAACAACCACAATGATATAATAATAATAGTATAATAATATTAGTAATGATAAAACATAATAATAATGATAAAAGATGATGATAAAAATGATGATAAAAATGATAACATTAATAATAACAACTTTTGCAAATTATTTCTTGTTGATCAGAGAAAGAACAACCGACCTGATCTGTTATCTTGTTTGTATACAGTGTTGTTGTGTGTCTAATTTAGCAGTCATAACAAAGCAATAAAAGACTTCATTATTACATTTTACAAGGCAAGTGATTGATTTTACTTATTGCTGATTGTGTGCAGTCATGTGTGAAGAGAGGAAGGATGTGATCACATTTGAACGTAATGCACAATACAAGTAATTTTTTAACTTTCTTGACACAGTAGTGATAACTGGAGTTATATTAGACTGATTAAAGAAAAAATATTAATACCTTAAACTGATTAAGAAAGTGGGTCTGGAAGTATACGATTATAGGTAGTTGGAATATGGAAATCCAGGGGGAGGGGGGGGGGGTAAGACATACAGGGTGCACCGCTCTATTGGACCTATTTTCAACCCAAAAAATCCCTTAACATGGGTCTGTTTTTTCTCATAACTTCAAAAATGTTCGGGAAAATGGGCCTTTATTTCGAGTTCAGTTCTCCTAAATGACCCTTAGAAATGGGTAGGGTTTCGAGGCTTGAGCGGCACACCCCCGTCCAAGCCAAATCTGAGACCCTGCCCCCGGGCTGGAAATACATGATAAAGGCAAATGCAATTTGTGAGTACCGGTAGTAAACTACAACCTTTGTTGTAAGATCCCCGGTCTTCGTTTTCCAAAACACCCCGGGGTATTTTGGAAAACGAAGATCGAAGACCGGGGATCGTCTCTTCCTCTCTCTCCTTGGTTTGGCCTGGTGCACATATGCGACTATTAATGATGAAAATACAGCCAAACCTGTCTTAGCTCTCTTTAGACTAGAAGACACCTATCTATAGTGGCCACTAAAAATTGGTTCCCATGGATATAAATTAGGTGTTTATGAACCTGTCTGCAGCAGCCGCCTGTCTATCAAGGTCATTTTAGTTCACGTTTTTTCTTGGGTAGCCATTGTAGAAAGTTTTTACTGTCATTTCCATTGCATAAGTTCTTATGCTTATTATCATTATTATTATCATAACCATTATTATATTATTATTATCATTATTAGCCTATTATTACCGTTATTATTATTATCAGTGTTGTTGTTTTGTCATCGTTTTCATCATTGTGACAGTTTTCCAGTATTATTGTAATTATTATTAATGCCGAACACGCATATGGTTTCGGTCTTCGTTTTCCAGAAACCCTGGGGTATTTTGGTAAACGATGATCGAATACCGGGGATCGTCTCTTGTTTTCTCTTCTTGATCTGGCCGCAGCCAGGTTTGCTATTTCATATAATGCCTAAGTTTGGGCGGTTAACCTATATATTAGTAGGTTAGGAACTATAACTATAGTAGTGTGTTTGTGTTTATAGATTATGTGACTTTGTTTGCATACAAATGTTCAATTATGTTTTATAGTTATTATTATTTTTTATTAAAAGGCAGTCCGTGTCACGAGGTTAACCATCACAGGTCTCCTCCTGTTATACAGACTCATCTCATCTCTATTTTTGGTACCCTACCATCTACAAATATAACGAGGGCCACCTGTCTATAAAGGCCATTTTTTGTTTCCCCTGGGTAGCCATTATAATACACTTTTTTCCCTGTAGTTGTTTTTTCTTTGCATAGGCCTATTATTTTTATGGGTGTTTGGAAAACCCTGGAATGACATGTATGAAAGATAATGTCCAAAAATGGATGAAATATTAATTATGCTTAAAATTATTTGTTATTTACCATTTGTTGAAATAAATATATGGCCCTTTTATAGAAATTTTACCAGGTAGAATTTCTGTGGGGGTAAAATGAATGGTATAATCACAATGGCCTGGGGTTTGCATGCTGTTTTACCATAAATATTTATCAGGTTAAAAGTTTTATTAAATGTTTGTCTTTCACTGATGTTAAGGCATAGGTGTAGATACTTATGTAATACCTATTCATCAGGGGTGAATAGATCATCCCCCTGATGAATGGGTGAATAGATCATCCCCCTGATGAATGGGTATCAATTACACATTGACGCCTATGCATATAGGCGTATAAAAGAATTGCATCAAATTGTCACCCACATGCAGACTCGAGAGGGCTTTGAATCCACAGATCCCTTGTAGCTAGACCTCTCATTCTGAAATCATAATTATGACACATGCCCATTCTTTTCTCTTCCCTTGTGATTCTCAAAAATTAGGACTGGTTTGCTGATGCAAAATGCTTGGACTTTGGTCCACGGCAACATCCAGTATCAAGATGTTACTGACACATTTCATACTGGTGACAGCCTTAGCTACTGTTCTAATAGCCCCTCTACCAAACAGGGTTAACAGAGCTGGAATTCCAACTCTTGGATCCTTTTTTGAACGAGTGTCAACTTTGTTAAGAGCACTTGAGAGGTTTGTTTAACAACTTAATTACCACCTTTCATGTCTTGTGTGTGTATACTTGTGTGTCAGTGCTGCATAATACTGAATTATGTGTTGTTAGTTTATTTGTTACTAAGTGGTTCCAAAGATGAAGTACCACATTTTACAAGAAAATGGAAAAGCAAATGTTTTGGCGGGGGTTGGGGTGGTGGGGGATGTATCCAAATATACGAGGTTTAAGGGAAAGCTATTTCACATGCCCTCAGAATTTTCTTTTAATAAATCTTTACTGAAATTTAAACATGCATGGACTTGGGAGTCTAGGGAAAAAACATTAAAGATTTTATTTAGCAAAATTTCGGAAATTCAGATTGTTCACCTTTATCATAGACTAATTGTGAAGGGCATTTTCTGCTGCATGTTAAGGAACCTCTAAGAGTTTTTAAAAAAAAGTGAAGACTGGAGAAGATGACTTTTTTTTTTTTTTTTGCTAAAAAAAATAATAAAAACCTACATATAGTTTGTGCTGAACAAAAATGGACAATCAAAGACACAGTTATGAATCCTTGATGTCCAAGTCAGAGGATAAGACCAAGTCCTTCAGCTTCGAGGACCAGGCCTGAAAAATAGGGACTCGATACCGCACTGGTTGGTGTGTGTGTGTGTTTGAAAAATTATATAATAATAGAAAGGCAAATGCATATTTTCTTACATTATTTTGCTAATATAATAGTGTACTAGGACATTTTGTGTTATATTTAGTTTCGTATTCACTTTCTTTCTTTGTCCAGATTCACAGAACACCATGACTTGAGCCAACCAAGGCAACTTTCAAATTCTTCCTTGACGACTCTTGAGGAAATGTGGGAGACTTTAGAAGTAGTCTTCAGGCATTTTCAACGATTGGAGGATGATCTTCCACCACAGTTACATAGTCCAGTTAGCAATGCCCTTCACGAAACCCTTGACTTTTTGAGGCGTGTTCTTGAGACTATAGTATCAGATAACAGGTAGGAGTCTTCACTGTTTTTCTTTCCCACATGAAAAGAAAATGACCATCCCAGACTGCAGTATTGAAAATCAACATTTGATTTTTAATTTGCTTCATGTGATTCAGCAAATATTTGAATCTGAATCTGAATTATTTCATTGGTCACAAAGAAATAAGAATTCATAACATGACTGAATCAAAGAACGTCGATCAAGTTGGACCAACAAATGTACCTCCGAATTGCTTGCAAGACATGAAAATCAGTAACATAGAAAGCTCAAGCTGAATAATTGGGTTGAATAAAGAGACTATATACTCACATATCAGTCACTGAAGTTGCTTGTCCTCAAAATGTAAAAAATATTGACTCATTTACATATATGTACGTATGTACTGTCTTTTAACAGAAAGACAACATTATTTTCCCTCTAAAAGGCTTGTAGTCTCTGGCTGAGTATAGACATGGCCCATTCAGATAATTGAGCTGGCCCACCAGTATTTAATTGTTTCAACCAAGTGACATCGGGCCCCATCGGGCCTACGTATTTGGGATATAAAGATAATTGGTGGACATGCACTTGATTTCCTGGTGTTTGTTTAAGTACATATAAACAACTGGGTACTGATGCATATTTGTCAGGGAAATCACTTCATTACATGTATATACCCGCCAAAAAAGTTTGAAGGGGTTATTGTATATATAGGAATCGGTCACACAGTGAGTAGGCTCTAGCGAGATATTTTGTGCATGCTATGTGCATTGCACGTCAGTCAAAGGCTTAGCGCCCACTACTGACATGGTTTGAATAGCTGCTTTTCTAATTCCGATAAACTCAGTTTTTCTGATAAATCTGTTTTTCTCAGATAAACTCAGTTTATCAGAAAAACTGTTTATCAATGATAAACTCAGTTTATCAACTGATAAACTGAGTTTTTCTGATGAATCAAGTTTAACTGTTGATAAACTGAGTTTATCTAGTTTGTACACAAAGGGCTTGCCATAGGCGGGCGAAGCCACACAGCTAGTGTTTAGTTCCGAGATCCATTTCCCGAGCGTGCCATTTTCGCGCCATTTTCAAGCCATTTTCAAGCTTCAGTGAAACATGGCCGACAATCACATCCGACGTCATGCCGATGGCAATGGACGTTCGACTAGGTTATCAACTTGGAGTTGGATGAACTATTTCACCGGGCCAGGTAGTGAAGTTATACCGTCGGTTGTTGAACGATCTTAAGGCTAAGCCTCGGAGGCTCGGTCACAGTCTAGCGCATAATACAAATGTCTCTAGGCTAAGCGCTTTGCCTTTACAAATGCCATTACAAATGCCATTACGAACACGAACTGCTACCAACGCCCTACGAATCTTTTTCAGACAATCGAAATTCGGGAAGACAATGGAAAAACAGGGAGATTCGTTTTAGCCAATACAAATTACAATAAAGTAGGCCCTAGACTATTACAGATACTAGATAGTAGATCTAGATCTAAATAAAGATTCTAGTCTAACTCTAAGTTAGTAGATCTAGAGGTCTACCAGACAGACAGACAGACAGACAGACAGTTATTTCTGTTATTTCTGTTATTTCTGTCTCAATTTACTGATACTTTACTTTTCATATAATTTTAAGCACAGCTTGCTACGGTCACAAAGGTTCGTACGAACGATAATTTCGTACGAATCTCCGTTTTTCCATTGTCTTCCCAAATTTCCATTTACTGAAAACCGTTCGTTCGGCATTAATCATAGCAGTTCGTAATGGCATTTGTAACCGAGGCTTTAGTAAGTTAGTAAGATTGACAAATTTTGTTATCCTTCCCCATACACAGACGGTACCCCCCGGCCCCCCACTCAGTGTTATTTAGGGTAGGTTATGCGTAATCTATGCATGTTTACTCCTTTTGAAAAAAAAAACCCTAGATCTAGACCTAAGTCCGGTGTGTAAAGTCAATACGGGCCGGATTTTTGTGCGTGAAAAGTACCCCTTTACCGGACATTTTGGGAACACGCATGCGGTCCCTTCGACCCCGGAGTGGGGGGGGGGCGGTACCCCTTATATAAAGCAAGTTGTCGGTCCACCCTTTCCCTGACCCATTTCTTCCACTTACTAGCTACCCCATAGGATGTAGGGCCTAGGCCTATACTTCAGTCTCTTTAAAGATACTCGAGCCAGATGCAGTCTCTGGAACAATTAAGTGTCGATATCAGAGACTGAAGCTTTCTGTCTACAGTAGAAATAGCTTATGAAATTGCAGAAACCCTGGTGCTTCAAATGTCCAGGGCGCGCTGCCTCCCCAAATCGGTGTTATTTAGGGTAACAAGTACCATGTTCCCTTCCCTTTGAAAGCACCCTCCTAAGTCCGGTGTGTAAGGTCATTACAGGCCAATTTTTTTGTGTATTATGAGCGAGACTTTGTTGGTGAAAAGTACCCCTTTACCGGAGATTTGGGGAACATAAATGCGGTCTGTCCATTTCCGGAGTGGGGGGGGGGGGGGGGGGGCTTGGCGCTGGTCCACTGCAGGGGCTTTGACCCCACCTGTCCGTGCAAGCTCAGTGCTACGCTCTCTCGAATTATCCTCCATGATTTATACATTATTCTAAATTTGGCATGAGAGTATCGGTATACCGATGGCGTATAACTGCAAGCCTCTGTTGGTTGTTTTGATTGTTATTTTCTACTGTTACATTTTTGGGAGTAGGCTTGGCTGCGGACTGACTGTAAATGTAATGTTATTGCCCAATTATTGTTCCAGAGATGTCAGGTTCAAAGATCAGCTATGCGTGACATTTTCATGACTCGTTGCGCTGGCAAGGGTATAGCAAACCTAGAGCGTATATTGTACTTACCGGTAATATATATATATATATATATTAAGACGTAATAGTCAGCCTGCATGCAATGTACATGTACGTACACAAACCCTAGCCGAGACCTCGAGGCGGTCGGCCAGTACGTACTACGTAGTCTAACAATTACTACCTTTTTTTTCCCAGTCTGGCCCTGATGCATAACTTAAATGGTTGCCATGCGTGACAGCGTTTTCAAACCCTCCATGCGTGAATTGGTAGCTCTGTTGTTCATCTAGCTGAGCCTGAGGTATTGGGCGTTTTGTACCCAGTTCAAGGCAGTTGAGTGCACCACGCGACATTGCTGTGTCAATTGTTAATCTTCCCCAGCTGCAGCCATCATCTTGCAGAGGATGGGAAACTGAAAAAGGATGGCATAATCGTGAAAGCCAAAACAAAAACTTATCAAAATGAAAGTATAGATGGTCAAAAGAGTAACTTTTTCATGAGGAAATATTCTCCCATAGTGGCAGTGTGCCTGTATGGTTTATGTAGCCTTAAGGGCTGGATGACAGAGCTACCAAGTGTTACGCATTATGCGTGACGTCGCACATCAAGGGTCTGAAGACGCTGTCACGCATCAGGGCCAGACTGGGAAAAAAAAGGTAGTAATTGCTAGACTACGTACTGGCCGACCGCCTCGATCGAGGCCTCGGCTAGCTCCTCGCAGGGTTTGTGTACCTTTATCGCATGCAAGTATGTAGCATGCAGGCCGGCTATCACGTCGCGTCACACGCAATTTCCAAACGTACGCTTTACCCCCGTCCCCGCACCGAGTCATTAAAATGTCACCCATAGTTGATCTTTGAACTTGGCATCTCTGAGATGATGATATAAAATATGATATTGAAATCAATGTCATATTTTACATTATGCTATGGCCCGAAAGTATGCACCCTCCGGAACCCATTTTAATAACTCCAATTAGATAGGTCGGTATGAAGAAAATATATATTGCATATATAGATCTCTAGTGCACTTGCCAGATTGTAGACATAATTGCAGAGTTACAGTATTTTATAGGGTCTATTTTTCCTGTTCTTGCTAGGGGTTATTGCATGCAAACCTAGTCAAGAAAAACCAAGTGCAGCTAGTGAATACTCGCGCACCTCTTTCGTTGATCCAAGCTATCTCAGCTCTTGTAATAGAAGACAAGTATACTACCGTTGAAAACCTGGTATCGAGAACTTTAAATATTGGATATAGTCTAGATATTGAATAATGATAATAGATTTTGAATAATGATAATATCTGTTTCCCTCCTAATATTTTTCTTGTCAGATACTTACGCAGGTCGTGCATGTGCTGCCGTGATTGTCTGTGTGCTCTTCGTCTGCCTCTATCCGCAGTTTTCTCCATACGTTGGTGCTCTCACTGTAAGTTGAGAGCTATGATTGGATCAGATGATCCAGATTGCTCCAGATATTGGCTCAAAAATTGCCAAACTTTGACAAATTTTGAGAACTGTGACACCAAAATAACTTGTTTCTTGGATAATTCTCTCATTTGTAGCAGTTGTAGTCCAATGTTTAAAGCTATTTTAGTGCTGTTAAAAATTGGTCTAAATGTAGAGGCAGAACATGCGAGTCACCATTTTTTTATTATGACGATGAAAAAATAATGTGCACCATCAAAAGGGCTTAAAATTAACAAGTTTTCAGCAATGAAATACAAAAAAGGCATGCATACCAGGGATTATTTTTGTCTTTTGATGTTGTTGTAGACCATAGGCCTATATGTTTGTTGATGTTTAGTGCCTTTTTATGCGTCTGAGATGGAAAAAAGTTAGTCTGAAAGTAGAGTGAAAACAAGGATAGCTTACGTTGAGCGGAACTAAAAGTCAGGGGCGTGGCGGAGTCGAGGAGACGTCACGCTTGATGCATATTCATTGGATAGCGTGCATGATACAAACTCGACATAATGCATGTGCAACCGAATACCCCTAGGTCAGCTGTTAATATTCACAAAACCAACCTCTAGTTTTGCTCATGCAACCTCTGGTTTCGCTCTTGTTATTACATGTGCTTTATATCAAATACCCGACCTCTAGTTCTGTTCATGCAACCTGTTTCGCTTTTTAATATTATTTAAGTGTGCTTGAGTTCACAGACCTGACCTCTAGTTCCACTCTTATTATTTATGTGTGCTTTGTATCATATACCCAACCTAGTTTTGCTCATGTAACCTCGTGTTCCGCTCTATTTTAACCAGACCGGTATCACCAAGTGCCTCGGCGAACAGGTCAACCTGCTGAAGTCGCCTGCAGTTATTCTGGTAAGCCTAACCAATTCATTTCCACTCACTTACAGGTGTGGCATATTAGTAAGATTTTTAAACATGAAGTTAAAGTATACCCTCCCCCAAAAATGTTGGGAGTTTAATGTTGGCGTACTATATTTTTAGTATGAGCTTCTCATATAATTTTCTATCAAATATTGCAAGTTTAGATGCACTCTCAACATACATAAGAGTGACTCGAGTAGACTAGTTTATGCACTTGTACATGCATGCTTGCATGGAACCCAAGTCTGAACTTGGTTCTGTATGCAGAGTTTTAGGTTACTGTTATTATTGGTACGATTTATTTCAAACTTCTGCCTTTCTGTTTCTCATATTTTTCTGCTTTCATACAAGTAAACCTAATTATTACAAGATTGGATTGCCCTTTTGTGCCTGTCCCTTGGGTCTCTCCTCTCGATGTAACTCGATGTGCAGGTGGACCACTATACACCCATGTTCTCTCCTACACCCATTAAAACAGTGCAGTGGGTTTTTAATGTGCAAAGATAGTGACTCGCCTCCACACGGGGGCTTTCATTTAACATCCTATCTGAGGGACAGGGTGTTATTCACTTCAACTCTACTGACGTCTATGAAACGGGAATGGGGTAATTAACAAATATTGCAGGCTTCAGTCATTCACTTATCTTTGGTTTGACATGCAGAAGCTTTACTGACGGTTCTCTGTGTCTATATTAAATTTAAAACATAAAAGTATGATTCATTTAATCACACTTCTCTTTTTCTTCATCCTTCATTGCAGCTTGCGATCATTGTCATAGTTCCAAGCATTGTGTTTCGTGTAGGCATGTCATCAGACATATTCTTCAATCGACGCTCCCTAGCTGTCATCGTAGTCTTCATTTTCGTGTGGAATTGGATTTATTTCTACCAGGTTAGTAATCACAATCATGATAATTGTTGTTTATGTATCACCTTACAGTTAACTGAACCAAAGCATTTAGTGTGGTGTAACGTTAGTGATTATATTCAATGAAGATTCTGCACTTTGCAGTGTACACTCAATATGATATATCAGCCCATCACTATTTCACATGTGCGCACATGTATGCTTACCTAACCGCTTTGACTTTTGGGGGGTATGCTCTTAACCCCACAGTTGAGAGAGCATAAGTTGTGGCGTGCGCCTGTAATCCAGCTAAAAATGGAAGTTACAAACTAGTTCAGCCGAGGAAGCAGGTTCGAAACTGAGTCACGTCCCCTAATCATATCCGATTCATTGATACACTTCTGTAAAAACCCAATACACACACACACACACACACACACACAGTATAAGTGTCATGCTATGGTTCAAACTCATGACCATTGCTATTTTTATTATTGTTGTTGTTGTTGTTATTATCATCATCATCATCTTCATTATTATTTGTTTTCTCCTTGAATCCCAGGAAGAAAACAACCATGCATTAAACCTAATAATCCCGGCCAACTGCATGCCACACAAGATGACCTGGGTGCAGGCCTTGCAGGAATGGTTTAGTTCCATGACGTCCATCCGCACAGATGAGTGCTTTGAGTACTATAGGATCCCTCTGATCAGGGTAGGTCAATATTAAAATAATGATGATGATGATGGCTGCCTTTTTTACAGCACTTGAGCATTTTAAGGAATTTATTAATTCCTGCTGGGTACTCATTTAAAATAATGTCTTGCCAGAGGACATTAGTGCTATGACAGGGATTCAAACCCTGTACATTGTGGATCACAGTCCAGAGACTTATCCACTGGACCACAAAACACCTCTACATTACCAAAGTTACCCAGATTCTACAGGGGATAAGGGGGTATAAACAGACAATTTTACCCTTCCCCCTGGATAGACTCTATAGTCCATACCGTTTCAGATATCGATCTGCCTTTTGGTGACATTGATTTTTAAATGTTGCCCAATGCTCAGCTTTCAAATGCTCTGGGATTAGCACTTGGCTGAGAAATTGTCTTGGAATACTTGATCTTCAATACGAAGTGAGGGAGGAAAACCTTTGCTCATGCAGGGCCTTTGCTGTGGAACGCTTTCCCCCAAGAGATGTATCTGTTTGATACGGCACATAATTATTCATTCTCTTTTATTTTGTATGTTCTTACTTCTTACCCCTGTTGTTCCTTTGCAGATGCACATCTATGCTTCTACATGATTTCAATTTTTGCACTTGTGCGCCTTGAGCATTTGATTTTGAGTGGATTTGGCAATTTACAAATCTCATATATTATTATTTAATGGTAGTATTAATTCAAAAGGGGTTCGTAGATTGGGATGGTTCATGCATGTAAGCTGCTAAAGATAGGCAAATGAAAAGGAAATTAATGAAATTGAAAAAACCTGCTCCATGTAATGTTTTATGTCATACATGGTGATAAGCTTGTTTTTCTTTAAAGAAAGACACGTACCTGCCAACCCTTCTGAATAATCCGGAAATTCAGATTTTCTGGATTTTAAGGACCTTGAAATTCGGTATATTCAAATTTTTGATTTTTTTTTTTTGTTGTTGCTAATGCAAAATTAAGCATGTTTTATCATGTACGGCAATTTGAGAGTTCATGTATTGCGTGCGCTGAATAGCTGCATAAGCAAGCAGCGAATTTGTATTCGCTTTTTTGTACTTATTGAGTGCGTATTGCCAGTTTACACTGCCGCTGCATTTCTTATTTTCGAAGGCATACCGTGCTATAAATTCAAAATTCTTATTTTCAAACGTTGGCAGGTATGCAGACAACCTTGATCTACAAGAGTATTGTATTTGTAAGAGATATGTGGTACATATACTACATAATGTGACATGCACTATTCATAAACGGAATATGGTAATAACTAATTATTCATCAGAAAAGAATTTTAGATGACTTCAATCCCCAATGTAATCACATATTCACATATTCTCTCTTAGTTATGTATGTTCCCATGTATTGTATATATCTCTTTACGTATTTAAAGTTTTTTTCGCTTTTATTCTGTTATGATCTTGGTCATGTATATTTGATAAATTTTACTATTTTCTCTGTAAAGGAAACTTTGAAATTTACACTAAAATTTCTAATCGCTTTCCCTTTGTTGTCGTACTTTCTTCATCATTCTTCTTCTCCATGTCTTCCCAGTACCATATGTTCCATTCTTATCATGCCACCCCCTTTCTCTATCTCTCCTCTTCTGCATTTCTTCCTTCTTCTTTTTTTCTAACTTCACACTCTCTCTCTCTCTCAATATTTATATCTCCCTATCGCTCTCTCTCTCTTTAAATTGTTCTTCCCCTGACACTTTTCTCTCTGTCAGTATTGTTTAATTATGTTTCTATGATAAATCCTCATATACTGTGTGTGACTGCTGAATTAAATCGAGTAGCATTGTGAAAAGGCATATAATTTGCAGTATATTCTGTTGCAAAATCAAACAAATTTTCAGTACCAGTATCTACTTCTCATAAACTCAATGAATTGGCCTCGATTTCTATTTAAAATTCCTCACTTCCTCAAATCCAATGGCTTCTATTAGTAAGTCAATAATTTAAAAAATAATAATAATGACAAATTTATACTATTTGTAACTTCAAATCTTTTGCAAAATATGGAATATGTAGTAAATGAGTTGTAATCTATCTAACTTTGTATTATTTGTACTCGTCTATATCTAAGTTTTGTTGAAATGTTTTTTTAATCTGAGCTTGTAAAACTTGCAATGTAATTTAGCTCTCGAGGTACCATTTTGCAATTAAGATTCTGACATCGAATGACCTCGACTACGAGTGACGTCATTATGCTCATTGTTGAATCCACGTTGGGCCTCCTTGATAGCGCTTTAGATTGTCACACGACGCGATGCCAATGTTTAAAGATGAAGTTGAGTTATGGTCATGCGATTGCATTGTGAAAGAAATGTTGTGGAATCGATCAGAAAAGGTTGATCATCTAGCATTGAAGTATTTGTGTGTATTGCATGGTTCTGGAATCATCAAAATGATAAGATATTTGGCCAAGTCTTGGTAAAGTTACAAACATTTTTCACAGAAAGATGTATATGGGACTACACGAACACGTGGCATAAAAATCCGTCCCTGGATTTTTACGATGTTACATGACATATTTAGGATATGAAGGCATTTAAAGAGTCTTATCTGATGTTCTTCCACACTTGCATAATAAGAATGATAACGCTCACAACTTTTATTTCGTGAGTCTCCGTAAGAGCTCACATGAGAACCCACCTCTCGCATGCACAGTCATATCACTTCTTCGCATGGTTTACTGAGAAGTAACTTCTCAGAGCAGTCAAAATTTACGTGAAATGTCCACTTTTTCTACCGTCATAGAGATTTGTTTATTTCGAGAAACAAAACTTGTTTTTAGATTGTTATCTGGATAATACTGGATTTATCTGTTTTCGTTTTCTTCGAGAACATTTTTGAGCTCGCTCACAAATTATTTTTCACCTCTTCCCAGAACTCAACCTTCTCTTTTAACGCATGCGCAATGATATTCGTTTGTCTCACGCGGCAAATTTTCTTTATTACGTCATATCGAATTGTAGATATCTTTACGTCCATGCAGCTGGCCGAATGTCAGCTGTGCAGGAAACTCCTCAATTCTTTTAAAAAAGTAAAATTAAAAAGGTTGAAGTGATGTGATTGATCAAATTCATAGGTATCTGTTGTTTTAACTGTAGTCACATATATCTTCTTGAATTATAGTCTCAAAAAATACTGTAGACTGATGGCTGGCTTCAGCATTTGTATCCAGCTCGTAGTCGTTATGATCACCTCAAGATAGGCCTTAAATTTGCCCGATTCCCGTTGTGTCAATTCACATGCTAGAAGCAGATGGCGCATGCGCAGTTCCTCAAAATGACATCAGTCGTACTTGGTACTTGGTTGTTGTTCCTCCAAACTGGAGGTCGTGGTGGCAGAGGGTGGACTTATTTCAGAAGTAGTGCCACTTTAAACGTAGTAGAAGGTCGTTCAGTGTCAGAATCTAAAGCTCGCTAAAAACTATTCTGCTATTTCTAGTCCATATTTTTTTTCTTGCAGGCCTTATCCCGAACTGTCAATCTATTTTTCATTGACACCTTTCGGTACATCGGTCAAGCCATCTACGAATGCCATGAGGAGATCTTAAGAGACCAACCAACCCACGTTGGGATCTCTGCACTCACAGCATGCTATGGCATAGGGACGATTGCTGTCTACTTTTCGTACGTTTTGTACATCTCTGCAGAGGAAACCACCAGCACTGGGAGCTACCCGGTTACCGGTAAGGGTTTCACTCGATACTCCCATGATTATGAAGACTTCAAGAAGTCAACACATAGGCAATTTTAATACACTATTGTACTACTTATAGATACTAGCAGGACCCGTGGAAATCCACATTTTCATTCTTTTAAATTGCACCCTGCATAATACGTTTACACAGTCGACATGTAGGCCTACATTCCTGTGAGTTTCATTCAGGCCTATAATTAGTTACTCGTTAATTAATGTATCAATAAATTGCTTGTTAATATACACGCAAAAGGTCTTAAAGATATGTAACCCTCAATCTTCTGCCTAATTGGCACACTCAATATTATTATCAACAAAAACCTGTTCATTTACACACAGTCATCCACTCAGAGAAACATGCAGACATATAATTACATATACACCTACATGGTCACCCCTATTTAACATTTGCAAACAGTCGTGCCAACACCCAGCTGCAGTGCCCCGGGCCCGTTGATGACCTGGGCGATCAGGCTGGGTGCTGCAAGAAACTATACAGATTTTATAGCTTGTTGGGCATCGATTGTTGAAAATGCATGTCGTATCTCCCTCGTCACGCATATCATGCATTATGCATACCGAGTTTTTTTTTGTTGCTCTGTATGGTAGCTGCGCTTCACACAAACTAAGTTTTAACATGTAAACCAATAGGGATCACAACTATTTTCCTTATACCCTGAATCTTGCAGGAATATCACTCATGAACTATTCACCATTACTGGCATTGTTCGTCTCTTTAACCCTATCTAGCCCAGGCTATCTTGAAACTGCATAGCCCCTCCATTTTGAAAATTGTGGCTACGTCAACTGTTTTCATGGTGAAACACAACCAAGGCTGTATAAATGAAATACAACAGACATTTGTTATATTTCTATACTTGAAATTGTAGTTGACCGCTTTGATATAATTTTTCTTTCTCTTTCAGGTTTTCCAAATGACATACGAAGTATGTCTCCTCCTACAAAGGGCAATGTGGGTCGACGCCTTCAACCTCGAGGGGGAGCCACAGGAGCCCGATGAGGAGGACATATGTATGCGCCATGCTGCATACAGAAGTTGTATTTTTGGCAGCATGGCAAATTATTCAAGATTCAAGATTTATTTTATTTAATGCTTGAATACTTTACGGTTGAATTGATACTGAATTTACGTATTTAAAAAACATGTAAAAATAACAGAGGGTACGAAAACAGATCCAGGTAAAATACAATGACAGAAAAGGTGTACACAAATTGCAAATTTAAATTGATAATATAAATTAATCTGGAAATTGGAAACCATATGAATTTCATTGAAATAGAAACCTGCTGAAAGTAATCCGAAAAAATAAAATCAATGAATTTTGGAATTTTCAATTTAAAGACTTATTTAATCATGACTACAAATTATTTTCTCCCTTGAATATGTATGTAATATGAATAAAGAAAATATATGCTCTGTTTGTATCAAAGAAAATCAAAGAAGTATGACTCACACATATTCCGAGTAGAAGCTATCAATTTGGCCAAAACATGACATTCCACAGCTATGAGAGAGTTAATGATGTACGGTCACTTGGTCAAAGGTTAGTAACTCGACCCCCCCCCCCCCCCCTTCCAGAACACTTGTAATAACTTAGCCAAATGTAAACATTGGATAAGACAAAAGACTTCCTGTCTCCGTCCCAATAACAAGACCCTTTCCCTGAACAGGTTATGTGTGGTAGCTAAACCACCGTGAGAGTGTAATAACTGTTATAAAGGAAGGCAGAGGTATTTGTGAGATTCACTCCTGTACTGCACCCCCATCCATGGGGCAGGCAGGGAGGTCGACTCTGCAAGCTTTTGGTGTAACATGTCATTATATAGGTATTGACAATCAAGATGTAAGAGTAACTATATGTGTTGTGTAATGGATAGTGTATTGTTTTATACCGAGATTTCTGGAATGTAACTGGGATTTGGCTGGAATTACTGTTGGACTTAGCCTGGATAGTGTATTCAATGTTTATTCCGAAAACCTCGACATGAGACCGGAATCATGCATGGAAGAAATACTGGGGCGACTTCTAGGAACAGTAGGGTTTATCTTTCTATCTTTGTTTTTCTGTTAACCTCGTAGAGAGGCCGGAAAGGGCACATTGTTGGCAGAGAGGATTGGCCAAAAGTTATAAGATTTCTTTGTATATCGTAATGTCGAATTTTTGTATCTTAAGAGTTTGTTAAGATGTGAAAGGAATATCCATAGGGCAAGGTTGTTACGAAATATAGTTGATAGTTTTACTGCTGTATTTGCTAGAGTGTGTAAAGGTACTTTAAGGACGATTATTGTTTGTGTGTGTTTAGAAAGACACTGAGTAGATTAAATTGGGTATATACCATACCTGCCAACTATTACGATTTTGGCGTAATTATTACGATTTTCTGTTTTAAATTACGCCTTACGATTTTGTGTCACAAAATTACGATTTTCTGATTTTCTGACTATTAAAATGTTAAAACGACTGAACTTCAAGGCTAACAGCCAAATCGTAATGCCAACGTTTTAATTTTATGAACGCACGTTTTTCAGCGAGTGTATAGTAATACGAGCGGGAGGATTGCGTGCGTATGGTGATATGTACTGCGTGTATGGTCATGTGTGTGTGTGTGTGCAGACATGACGACTACATGCGATGCAATACATGCGATGTGTTCTTGTTTTGCGCGCACATTTACCATACAAACTTACGTGGATTACTACATATGGGACTGATACGAGTGATTTTTGTTTCGGCCGCGATTGCGATCAGCTAGCTTTGATTTTCCCATGATTTTGATCGCTACCAGTAAACTTCAAACGTCAAAATGAGCAAATCAACTAAGAGTAAGAAGTCTACCCAGAAATATCGGGCTGATTACGCTCTAAAGTTTCCTGTGTTGACAAGCTCTAAACTGGGAGATCACTATGCATTTTGCAAACGCTGCTCCAGTGATGTCCGCATCTCTCACGGTGGACTTAATGACATTGAGAAACACATCAGGACAAAAAAACATCAAGCTAATACCGAGGCAACCGGTGGAAGATCATTACAAAGCTACTTCGCGGTAGATTCGGACATGAGTGTTATTAATGCAGAGGTTTTGATGACCGAATTCATTGTTGAACATAGTTTGCCACTCAGCGTTGCTGACCACTGTAATAAACTGTTTCGGAAAATGTTTCCCGATTCGGCCATCGCAAAAAAGTATGGATGTGGGCGCACGAAGACAGGCTGCATCACCAATACCCTTGGTAAAGATTCCAGGAAAAAGATTGTTGATGTCATCAAGGTATCGCCATTCAGTTTGGCAACGGATGGGTCTACGGACTATGATGATGTCAAGTTGTACCCAATATGTGTGCGGTATTTTGACCCGGATGAGGGTCGTACCTTGTCTGTTCTTCTCTCATTGAAGGAGTGTAACAAGCCATCTACAGGGGAGAACATATTCAAGCTTCTGGAGGCAGAACTACAGGAACTGGAAATTCCGTTTGAAAATCTGGTGTCCTTTTCCGCGGACAATGCGTCAGTGATGTTGGGCAAGTTCAAAGGTGTAGCGGCGTTTCTCCTCAAGCGTGCCCCATCCATGTACATTTCTGGTGAGTCTTTGTGAATACTGTATTATAATGTTATGTAGACCTCTAGAGAAAAACTGAACATATAAAAACATAAATGAAATATAAATGAAAGAAATGCTTGTGCTGCTCATTAACATAGTCGTGTGTGTGTGTATGTGAGTGTGAGTGGTGTTCATTTCCACAGGCACAGCTTAGTTTGATGGCATTCCAGAGGAATTCATGACCATTGTTTGATTGTTAGGTGCCATAAATATCTGTTTGGGTGAAATTTGGGGATGTTTTTGTGACGGGAGTAGTGCGATATTTTTGTACAGCATTTTTGTTATTATAGGAAATATACAGACAAGTATCTTACTAAGATATCGTCTAAAGTCTAAAAGCTTTTTAGTTAGATGCCATTGAACTAAGACCCCCTTCCAAAAAAATCCAAAAACAATACAATAATATAAGATAGATGAATACAAAAATTAAATGAAGATAAAGAAATAAATAAAACAAAATTGTTATAATTTTGAATATGCAGTCAAAATATAGTCGTCTTTGATTGTCTTAGTAATGGAATGATTGGTTAAATATCTTGCAGCTACATGTGTGTAGTATACTATAAAAAGGCCTAAGTGATGGACAAAGAGTTTTGATATTTCTTTTCCAATTTAAAAATATTTAAATATGTTCTCATTTGTTTTTTATTTGCATTCTTTTTATCTGCACAGGCTGCCCCTGTCATCTGATGCATCTTGCGGCTGAGAAAGCAGCAAAACGGCTACCTGTGAGAGTAGAGGACTTGCTCATTGATATTTATTATCATCTGGAAAAGAGCAGCAAGAGAAAGCAAGAATTCAAATCTTTCCAAGCCAAAGAAAATCTTCCCCAGCACAAGATCATCAAGCACGTGTCCACACGTTGGCTTTCACTCGGACAGTGCATCACTAGACTCTTGGAGCAGTGGGATGCAATTCTTCCTTTCTTCGAAGGAGAGAGAAAAAAGACAAGTGGGACAAAACGACAGAGAGTCACACAAGAAGGGGAACAAGAAAGAAAGAAACAAAAAAACAAATCGGCAGAATCACCGCTAAGTTCGGCTACCTCTACCAAGCAAGGCACATCGGTGACCCCTGCTGTAAAACCTGGCAGTTCACATGGTCCTACTAGATCAACACTCCAAGGAACAACTTATGCAACATCTAGTACATGTTACAAGATTCCCAAGAAGAAACTGCCTGTTGCTTCTAGTTCAACTTGCAACCAAAGCACTACCAAGTCTGGAACATCAAATGTGGGTGGTAAATCAACAGCATCCAGTTCTCCAAGCACCAGCACAGTGAAGGGAACTTCTAGCTCAACTAGCAACCAGTGTGCTGCAAAGTCTGGTACTTCGAGTGGTCCTGCGAAGTCAACAACATTGAAGTCTGCTAAAAGCGCCAGTAAAGATACTTCAGGTCTTTCTACAGCATCAAACCCGTTCTTTCGAAAGTCATCTTCCACAAGACCAACTGCAAAATCAGCTGCAAAATCAGCTGCAAAATCAGCTGCAAAAGAGACTGCAAAATCTGCTTCAAAACAAACATCCGCTGCAAGAGATCAACCTACAATAACAACAGTTGAATCAAAACCTGAGCGTGTAATGAAGATGATGACAGACCCTAACACAAAACTATATTGTCTCTTTTTGAACATTACCATTTCTTTGTTTGATGACAGTAACCTGATCCTTCAGAAAGATGAACCATGTATTCATGTAATGCATAATGTTATGTGCAACCAACTGAAGTCACTGCTTGTTCGATTTGTGAAGCCAGAAGTTGTTACTGCTCATTTGAAAGTGTATGAAGTAGAGTTCACAGATGAAAGCAATCAGAAAAGTGATGAAGAGTTGTTTGTTGGCCAAGCAGTACGCACATACATCAGAGAGTGTGGAGAGCAGTGTAACTTGAAGCAATTCTACGACAGTGTACGCAGCTACTTCTCTTCAGCATGCAGCTATATGAGAAAGTCCTATCCATTTGAAGAAGAAGTTCTTCAAAATGCTGATGTATTGGATGTCTCCAAACGCACACAAGTGAAGCTCAACAAGTGGCTGTTCTTTGCAAACAAGTACCCCCAGTTTGTACCAGAGGATGAAAGGGACAAGCTGGAAGATGAGCTTTGTTGTTTCCAGGTGGATGATCTCACTGATGAAATCCTGAAACCAGACTTGAGAATCGACTCGCAATGGCATGAAATTTCGAAGCTGAAGTCTCCAGCCACTGGAAATGTGTTGTATCCAACACTGGTGAAAGTAGCAAAGGTGCTTCTTGCTATGTATCACAGCAATGCCGATTGTGAAAGAATTTTCAGCATCGTGAACAAGAACAAAACGGAATTCAGATCGAGCCTTTCAACTAAAACATTGGATAGCATCTTGACAAGGAGAATGGACCTGCTATCAAGGAACACGCCATGCCATTCTACTGTGCACTCCAAGGAACTTCTCAAGAAAGCGAAACAGGCAACGTCCTCATGCCTTAAAGCTTGAGGCATTGTAAAACTTCTGTAAAACTTCTGCAAGATAGATGTCTTCTAATTATATCTGGCAGCGTGTGTTTATGAGGCATGAGTATGTCAAGTTTATTCTCTGAACAAGGAACTTCTCAAGAAAGCGAAACAGGCAACGTCCTCATGCCTTAAAGCTTGAGGCATTGTAAAACTTCTGTAAAACTTCTACAAGATAGATGTCTTCTATATCTGGCAGCATGTGTTTATGAGGCATGAGTATGTCAAGTTTATTCTCTGAACAACCAAGAAACAAGTGCCTGATGGAGTCACTGATGGCTGGAAAAGACTGCTTTGTGCGATCAGTAGAGGTGAGGTGGAAAGTTTGAGAGCATTAAGTGTAATTATGTATGACTTTATTTTTCTCCTCCAGGGTCTATTTCATCAGAAGAATTTTTAGCTTTTAGTCCATGTTTTGCTGTTTTTGACAGTTTATTCTTTTGTGGGGGAGGTTCCATAAGTGTTGAAAAATGGGTTTAGAGTGAAGGGAAAGGGCATTTCTACATGTTCAAAATACCAAAAGCTCCCTAGCGTGGGAGGGGGACACCCCCCTCCCACACCCACCCCCCACTCGTCTGCTTCGCTCCCTCGGTCTAGCGTTCGGTCGCTGCGCTCCACAGTCCACGTGAAATAAATTACTATTTTTTTTTTGTAAAGGTTGGCAGGTATGATATACTGTGAAAATCATCTGGCTTGTTAGAGATGCCTGTAATATGAAGATTTGTGTCGATAACTAAGGTTTGGCAGTAGAGACTCTGGAACTGTTAGGATCAGTTGGGTAGCACTTAGATAATGTTAATGCTAGGAGCCTCGACATGAGACCAGTATTACATAATAAGGAGTGCTAGAATGACTGAAACAGTTGAGTTTTTGCACTAGATATGTTTTCTGTGATTCTCGTCATGAGACCAGAAAGTTCGTATTAGTGGTGCGGGTTGGCCAATTGTGTTATGATTTTAATTTTTATATTCTGTATTATGCAAAAAGATTTTTAATCACATGATTAATTTTCTTTTGCATGTTGGTAATTGGGCATCGTGATTAGGATCTGGAAACAGCCACGATGGGAAGAAGGTATAGTGGGAATTAAATATTATTTTGTTGTAGTCTGAGTGTCGGGACGACACTCAATTAAGCAGGGGAGTGTGTAACAGGTCAGAATTGAACTGTTTTATAGTGAAAAATATATATCTATTTCTAATCAATATCTCCTCAGGAGGAAAGTAAGAAGTTTATATGTTTACAAATTGTGTACTTCAAAGAAGTATGACTCGCACATATTCCGAGTAGAAGCTATCAATTTGGCCAAAACATGACATTCCACAGCTATGAGAGAGTTAATGATGTACGGTCACTTGGTCAAAGGTTAGTAACTCGACCCCCCCCCCCTTCCAGAACACTTGTAATAACTTAGCCAAATGTAAACATTGGATAAGACAAAAGACTTCCTGTCTCCGTCCCAATAACAAGACCCTTTCCCTGAACAGGTTATGTGTGGTAGCTAAACCACCGTGAGAGTGTAATAACTGTGATAAAGGAAGGCAGAGGTATTTGTGAGATTCACTCCTGTACTGCACCCCCATCCATGGGGCAGGCAGGGAGGTCGACTCTGCAAGCTTTTGGTGTAACATGTCATTATATAGGTATTGACAATCAAGATGTAAGAGTAACTATATGTGTTGTGTAATGGATAGTGTATTGTTTTATACCGAGATTTCTGGAATGTAACTCGGATTTGGCTGGAATTACTGTTGGACTTAGCCTGGATAGTGTATTCAATGTTTATTCCGAAAACCTCGACATGAGACCGGAATCATGCATGGAAGAAATACTGGGGCGACTTCTAGGAACAGTAGGGTTTATCTTTCTATCTTTGTTTTTCTGTTAACCTCGTAGAGAGGCCGGAAAGGGCACATTGTTGGCAGAGAGGATTGGCCAAAAGTTATAAGATTTCTTTGTATATCGTAATGTCGAATTTTTGTATCTTAAGAGTTTGTTAAGATGTGAAAGGAATATCCATAGGGCAAGGTTGTTACGAAATATAGTTGATAGTTTTACTGCTGTATTTGCTAGAGTGTGTAAAGGTACTTTAAGGACGATTATTGTTTGTGTGTGTTTAGAAAGACACTGAGTAGATTAAATTGGGTATATACTGTGAAAATCATCTGGCTTGTTAGAGATGCCTGTAATATGAAGATTTGTGTCGATAACTAAGGTTTGGCAGTAGAGACTCTGGAACTGTTAGGATCAGTTGGGTAGCACTTAGATAATGTTAATGCTAGGAGCCTCGACATGCGACCAGTATTACATAATAAGGAGTGCTAGAATGACTGAAACAGTTGAGTTTTTGCACTAGATATGTTTTCTGTGATTCTCGTCATGAGACCAGAAAGTTCGTATTAGTGGTGCGGGTTGGCCAATTGTGTTATGATTTTAATTTTTATATTCTGTATTATGCAAAAAGATTTTTAATCACATGATTAATTTTCTTTTGCATGTTGGTAATTGGGCATCGTGATTAGGATCTGGAAACAGCCACGATGGGAAGAAGGTATAGTGGGAATTAAATATTATTTTGTTGTAGTCTGAGTGTCGGGACGACACTCAATTAAGCAGGGGAGTGTGTAACAGGTCAGAATTGAACTGTTTTATAGTGAAAAATATATATCTATTTCTAATCAATATCTCCTCAGGAGGAAAGTAAGAAGTTTATATGTTTACAAATTGTGTACTTCAACGAAGTATGACTCGCACATATTCCGAGTAGAAGCTATCAATTTGGCCAAAACATGACATTCCACAGCTATGAGAGAGTTAATGATGTACGGTCACTTGGTCAAAGGTTAGTAACTCGACCCCCCCCCCCCCCCTTCCAGAACACTTGTAATAACTTAGCCAAATGTAAACATTGGATAAGACAAAAGACTTCCTGTCTCCGTCCCAATAACAAGACCCTTTCCCTGAACAGGTTATGTGTGGTAGCTAAACCACCGTGAGAGTGTAATAACTGTGATAAAGGAAGGCAGAGGTATTTGTGAGATTCACTCCTGTACTGCACCCCCATCCATGGGGCAGGCAGGGAGGTCGACTCTGCAAGCTTTTGGTGTAACATGTCATTATATAGGTATTGACAATCAAGATGTAAGAAGCGGGTACAATCAGAGGAAACGGTCCTCTTGGCCAGATTGCCAGGGCTTTAGCTTAGTTTACTTTGCACCTGAAATAAAAAGAACCGCAACACAAAGAATGGTGTGATGAGTCTTCTCTACCAGTTTCCGCGTGTGATCTGCGTGTTACACACATATATATATTTATATATATGTACAACTCCTGTCATAAGTGAATGTATTGTAATATATAAAATGTAATGAATAAACGTTACAGTCTACAAAGTTGAGAGTGGAAATTGTTTTTCTTCCTACTGTTCCATGATTGATTTAAACATACAAGTCATCTTATTAACACAATAAGCCAGTTCATAGTTGCAGTCTGAGCATGAGCAGATAAAGGTCATTGCAGACCACATGTGTAAATACACTGACAAAATACTGGATAGTGTTCATGCAAGTTATGTAATCGGTATTCATTTATGCACAAGCAGTGCACTCCATGATACACAGGTGGAAGTATTATATGAAAAGGGGAAACAAAGGCTATTTATATAGTACCTCCATCGCTGTAGCACTAATTATTTCAAAATGTACAAAGTGGACCTCTTCATGTTTTGAAGATCTGGATATTTGGGGTCATTTGGGACATGTGCTAACCGTGAACTGGTCTGTCAGTCTGCGCAGGCCTGTCTTGGTGAGCCATGTAGTCGATTACTGCCAAGAGGTTCCTAGCTCTGACGGTATAAGCCTGGTACCTGCTTTAAAAAAATGGCTTTTTTTTTTTTAATTTACATGCATGCATGAAGGCTTCTTAACTCACACTTTGATATGCATAACCTTGCATGGAAGCAGTCCTAAAGATGTTTTCCCAAATGCAACCATCTCTTTGCACTTGCTTTGTACTCACTGAATGCCTGAAGCCAAATAAACTTTAAGATGAATCACTTCTTCCAAATTCATTTTCATTCTTTAATTCTCCATGAGGCTTACATTATTTTTTCTTGAATCTGCTTTGGGAAATATGTTTTTCATAATGTAGATCATTAAAGATTTACATATATATATATATATATATATGAAGCCTTGTTGCATGGCAAATCTTGAAAATGTCATACCGTTTCCACGTAAAGTCACACAAAATAATGATGCTTTCCTTGAACTATAGGGACAAAATTTGAAAAACCATCTGGAGACAAAATTTAGTTTGAAAAAAAAAATGGAGACAAAATTTGGAAGGAAATTTGAAAAAACCTACTGGAGACGAAATTTAGAAGGAAATTTGAAGGAAAAAACTATATGACCCAGTTTTAACCTTCTCATCTCATCGTGGTCTATCCTTGTGTAAAAATTACTGTCAACACTATCATCCCGCCCCCGCAGTGTTACTAAGGGTACGCATACATACGTGTTCCCAGCACCCCCCCCCCCCCCCCCCTTTCAGCAAAAGTCCGGTGTGTAAAGTAAATACGGGTAGACCTTTTTCTTCTGTTACGATCCGGAGATTTTGGGAGCACGCATGGGTTCAAAAACGTCAATTTGGCCTTTTTTGGGGCCATTTTTAAGAATAAGGAAACTTTTTCATAATGGTTCAAAATCATACTGTACGCTAAATATTGCTTACGAATTGGGCCCCCGCCCCACAGTGGGCCAGGGAGGAACCAAAGTGCGCCAAAACTCATGTTTGGGGATTTATTTTTTATAAATCCAGAGGAAATGTTTGGATTTCCAGGGATTTTCGCTTAAATTTTATTACCAACATTTTCTATGATGTCTACGCTTTAAGTTGATACCAGATTTGGCTGCCCGATTTTGCCCGTTATTATGTTAGAGCCGTTTTCCTTGCAACATTGCCCCGAAAAATGTGTTTAATTTGGTCCGCGGTGTCAGAACAAGTGTCACGCGCCCCCTCGCGCCGTGATTTATGACCACGAATCCTTCATGATTCAGCCGCGGACCCCAAAAACCCACATTTTTCGGGGCAATGTGGCAAGGGAAATCGGCTCTAACATAACAATGGGCAAGATTGGGCAGCCAAATTTGGTATCAACTTGAAGCTTAGACATCAGAGAATATGGTGGTATTAAAATTTAAGCGGTACATCGCGGAGATCTAAACATTTCTTTTGGATTTATAAAAAACATGGATAATTAGTCCATTTTTCAGCGAATTACCCTTTAATATATCATGAAGATTGTGTTTCTAAAGAAAACATGCACTATAGAAAATGGTCCCCTATTGAGAATTTATTTTAATTATCCATAATTATATTTTGATAATGATACAGTTCAAACCACACGAGACTGATTTTTTAGTTTTTACATCAGGTCTGTTTGTTTGTTTGTTTGATTGTTGTTGTTTTTTGGGGATAATTGTTACAGTGATTCGTATTTGATTATTGTTCTTTTAATGTTATACAATTATTTAAT